ATTTGTTTCGTTGGAAACGCGCCGTTGCGCTTGGGATCCTTTGGAATTATTTTGTTGTGAATGGTTGAGGTTGTACTTGGGAATGGTGAAACTGTTTTGGGATGGATGGTTGAGGTTGTTGGTGGCTGGGTGGTTTCAATTATTTTGTCCGGAGTTTGTTGTTTAGCTATTGATGCTAATTGAATGTTTCGTTGTGAACGCGCCGTTGCGCTTGGGATCCTTTGCGATTGTTTATTGTGAATTGTTGAAGTTGTGGATGAGAATGGTGAGACTGTTTGATGGATAATTGAGGTTGTTGGCGTCTGGATGATTTAATTATTTTGTCTGGAGTTTGTTGTTTAGCTATTAATGTAAATCGAATTTGTTTCGTTGGAAACGCGCCGTTGCGCTTGGGATCATTTAGAATTGTTGAGGTTGTGATTGGTTGAAGTTGTGGATGAGAAGGTTGAGACAGTTTTGTTAGAATTACTTTGTCTGCAGTTCGATTATATTGTTCAGCTACTGACGCTAATGGGATTGGATTTGGAATTAGTGGCTTGGGATTCTTTGGAATTATATCGCAGTTAATGGTTGAGGTTAGTGTCTGGATGATTTGGTGTCGCTTTGAATTACATTGTCTAAAGAGTGATTATGTTCTTCAACTATTGATGGAAATTTGATTTGTTTCGTCGTAAACGCACTGTTGCGCCTGGGATCCTTTGGGATTATTTCGTTGTGAATGGTTGAAATTGTACTTGGGAATGGTGAAACTGTTTTCGGATAGATGGTTCAGGTTGTTGGTGTCTAGATGATTTGCTGTTGATTTGAATTATTTTGGCTGGAGTGTGATTAGGTTATTTAGCTGTTGACGCAAATTGGATTTGATTTGTAATTAGTGACTTGAGATTCTTGGAATTATTTCGCGGATAATGATTGAGTTTAAGAATAAGAGAGTAAGAATTATTTTATTTGGAGTGTGATTATATTGGTTAGCTGTTGATGCAAATTGGATTTGATTTGTAATTAGTGGCTCTAGATTCTTTGGAATTATTTCGTGGAAAAACGATGGAGTTTGCGGATAGGAATGATGAAACTGTTTTTTAGAATTATTTTATTTGGAGTGTGATTATATTGGTTAGCTGTTGATGCAAATTGGATTTGATTTGTAATTAGTGACTTGAGATTCTTTGGAATTTCTTCGCAGATAATGATTCAGTTTGTGGATAGGAACGGTGAAACTGTTTTGTTAGAATCATTTTGTTTCCAGTGTGATTATGTTGGTTAGCTGTTGATGCAAATTGGATTTAATTTGTAGTAAGTGGCTTGAGATTCTTTGAAATTATTTCGCGGTTAATGGTCAAATTTGTGGATAGAAATGGTGAGACTGTTTTGGGACGGATAGAGTTTGTACTGCCGTGTAGTTTGGTAGTTTCTTTATATTACTTGTTAGGTGTGAGATCATGCTTATTACTACAAATTGGACTCTCAGCTCAATAAATGGTTGAATTTGTACTTATGAAAATTGAATCTTGTTCGCAATAAATAACCGAGTTTGTAGCTGTCCGCATACTTTCGTATTCCCGTGAGTTATTTCGTTTGGTATGTGATTACGTTATTTATTAATACAAATTAGATTCGTTCGCTAATAGTTTAGCCTGCCTATCTCTCTATCTGCGTAATTTGGAATCCATTTAAATGATTCAATTTGATATAAGATTAGATTCCTCATGTAAATAGAATCCGTTTCTCAAGAGGCGGCTGAGTTCCTATGTATACGACTCGGAATTCCTTTGAATTATTTAATTCGATGGGAGATTGTATTGTAGAAATCTGCTCGGTGTAAAGGAATGTGTAATTCATGTGAGTGCGTAAATATTACTTTCAACTAGACGTCTGATATTTAAACCTACAATCTTGCCGTTAATGAAGGCTGTACATACAGTTAGTTATGATCTTATAATTATGAGTTATGTTTCAGTTGAAAGACGCGGAACATTCGAAAGATTTATAACTTTCTTAACATCCATAACGTACGAATAATACCTATCCGCATCTTAACTTCCCGGACGATTGAATCCAATCAAGCATAAAACTCGATATCTCCAAATTATATTAAACACTTTGATCTTCGAATCCTTTCCGCAGCTAAAAGGAATCGGACAATTCAAAGGATATTTTCCAATCGTCGCGAATGGGTAGAAAATAATTGTCACCGATCCGCGATATTCATTTCCATCCGGAGATCGCGATTCCGATCTTTTAATCTCGAGTCGAGGTTACAAAGAGACACCGAGGAATCACGGGAAACGGTTCCAAACCGCCCCTCGCGGATTCCGATACCAGTAATCGTTACATCACGCATAAAACTTTCATACTTTTACTATTTCCTTCAATGTTCATAAAAATAATTGCCATGAAACGGCCGCATCAAACGAAACAGCCGATCTAATTAGCACCGGCACCAGCGGAGCTCGGAGGCGGCGATTAATTCGCTGATTCTCGAACTCGTTAACCGTGCATCGCTCCCGTCTCTCTTCGAGTGGGAAATTTTCCGGCGTACGATTCTCAAAGGGAAACCTCTATTAACCGAACAACACCTCGGCAATGGTCCTCGTGTCGCTTCAACCACGAAGGTCGAACGTTAGATGACTGAATGAGTAACAATACGGAAATCAGTGCGATAAGAATGTATCGTAAAGTATACGAACACGCGTTTTCCGATGTAGCTTAACTTTTTGGCCAACAAAATGGTGAAATGGAAAATACTGTCGATCTAGGAAGAATATTTAACACGTCGTGAACGCTTCACACTTCTTTCTTTACAGAAATAAGCGAACATTTACTAAAATTTCAATTATATTTCAGTAAGATACGATTCAGCTTCGTTAATAACTTCCAAAAGCAGCACCCGCATCTTTTCTAATCACAAAAGAGGAAATCAGAAAATCAACCATCTAGTTCCAGCGTTAATTCCCATTAACCCTTAATCGCATTTAAAATCTCAAAGGGTCGATACTCGATTAAAACCTCTTCGACACCGCTCACGCCTAAATAATTCACTGAAAAAGCTTCAAATCACCGAAAACTAGGCGTATTACAAGTAATTGTCTCATAAAGATCATTGCCCTTAATGAATCAGCCCAAACGGCGGCCGTTTGTCCGCAAGAAAACCGACAAGAAAGAAACGAAGAAAACAAAGGGGAGAAAAAGGCGCAAAAGAAACTAAACAGAAAAACGTCTGTTCGTTTGGGAGCCGCCTAATTCGTCGAAACTGTCCAAACAGGGAATTGTCCGGCGAGGCTGTGCAAACACAATTACCGGCGAGAAGGTTCGCCGCGCGGCGCGGCGCGTCACGTCGCGAAATTCGCCGCCATATTTTTCCAGCGGGTCGAGTTTCAACGGCGGAATTCCTCCGCGGACGGTGCTTTCACCAATTTGAGACGGCTAATTACGCGCTAAACGGTCGTTCATGCCGCGCCGGGTTTTCTGCTGCGCCCGCGTGCCCCTTCGACGGATCACGCTCGACGGTTGCCCCGCCGATCGATACCGTAATTATTTAATTATACGCGGACGTATCTGGCCGCTCGTCGACAAGCATCCTCCTCCGAACGATCCCTGGCATTTTCTTCTTGCGATCGTGACTGATTTCCATCGGTGTAATTGGGTAGATAAATATTTGCCGGTAATGTGTGCGACGAGAACCGTTCCGCCGAGACCTGTTAGCTCCGTTCTGGGATTTATGTTTCTTAAGGGTTAATCGCGGGATCTTGCTTCCCTCGGACGACGTCGGCCGGTTCTCTCCCGTTCTTTTTTCCACGTTCGCCGATCGTTTCAGCGGTGTTCCCAACGTCGTTCGCTGGCCGCGTTCACCTCGTGGCTTCCAACGATTTTGCACAATAGTTGAAAGCCGCGGTCGGTTATGTAAGCGAAGCATTCGAAACTCTTTAATTAAACGACGGCGTTTTGTAACGCGGACACAACGGGCCCGAACATCGCGGACACGGCTTCATTTGTCCGAGCGAGTGTTCGGGAGCCCGGCGGTTCGATTAGAATTTACCGCGGCGCTCGATCGATTAATTCCTTCTTCCCTCGTAACGCGATTCGTCGTAAATAATCGCGAACGCTGGAAAAAAGAATCATTCGCGAACGATTGGGAGAATTTTCTGGATTATTGAGAAACAACGGGGAGCTTATTAGCTAACCTGATACACTTATCGGTGACTTGATTATGAAATACCTTCGAATATTGCGTAACGCGAAAATATAATTAACGCTAGAACTACGAAATGAGTCAAATTAACCCAATCCTGAATTCTTCTATAACTATCAACAAGATAACAAATCCCTCTCCGAGAGAATTAAAGAAATTTATTAGCACGTTGACTGCCGCGCGATTTGCCGAGACAAATATGGAAAATAAAAATGTATCAACTTATGCCGATTACGTTATTATTAGGTTTGAATTGTCGAATGCCAGTGCATTAAGTCGTATTACTTATCGTATAGAAAACTTTTCAAATCATCGTTCAATCGAATGAATTATAGTAATTCGATTTAGTTGAGGTCACCGGTGACCCCGTGGCATTCAACGTGTTAACCCTTTGCGGAAGGTTCTTAGGAATGTACAAAACCTTCAGCAGACGAAACTAAATGATTTATCAATCGCTTAATCAATAGAAAAGGAAACTGTGCAGATCTCTAGATGTTCGAGTAATTAACTCACTCTTGCGGCTTGGTCTTCTAAATACGAACATTTCATCTCGCCGAAATGTCGACAGTCGTCCGCAAAGGGTTAATACACACTAACGACGAATCAATCGGAATCTCAATAATATCACATTCTCAAAGCTCCCATAGAAAACTCTGAAAAATCTCGTTATATTCGATAGTTACAGGCGAAAGGTTACTTTCTCGATATTCCTCAAGACGAATCCGATCCTCGTTAGAAGAAGATAACCCGAGAATTTCGAACGATTCCAGGTCACAGTGTCTAACGATTAAGCCGCATTTCCCTGTTCCAGGTGAAGATCTGGTTCCAAAACCGGCGGGCGAAGGCGAAACGGCTGCAAGAGGCCGAGATAGAGAAGCTCAGGCTGTCGGCGAGGCCTCTGTTGCACCCGAGTTTCGGCTCGGGCCTGATGTTCTCCGGAGTGGGGCCCCCTGGGACACCAGGAGTGCCTCCCTTCATCGCGGCGGCCATGGCTAGGCACACCCATGTCGCGGCCGCGGCAGCCATGTTCATGGGGCCCCCTGGACACAGGCCTTAATAAGGCAGACTCGGAGCCGCGCGAGCCCAAGTCGCTCGTACCCTGCGCCCTCCGAGCGGTTCGGCGACGGTGTGCCGCAGGATATCGGACTCGCCAGCTCCCGCAGGATCCGGAGGATCGAGACGGCGGCGCGACGCCGATCCCGCCGGAAAAAGGATCCCGAAACCTGTTCTTCCGAGGCAAAAATGAGACACGCGCTGCGGAGACTGGAAGCCTGGAAAAAGAGGATCTCGACGTCGTTAGCCGTCGGTGGCTCCGGAGGCTTCGGAGCGGAGGAATCTCGAGAACGAATTTTCGGACGGACGTTGGGAGGACTTTATTCGAGGACGTTGCGCGAAGTTGTCTAGTTCGAGGACGAGGAAGAGTATCTAGTGTCTAAGAGGAAGCAGCGAAGTCAGGTTTCGGGGGATCCGTTCAGCTTGTGAAGAATTCGGTTTAACCTGTGATACCTCTGGAATAATATTCCTGTGAGAAGGTCTAGGGTCCAGGTACCTAGACGAAGGGACTCGTAGTGGATTTTCGGAGAAGCTGAGATTGTTCGCAGGATATCGCGAAGTGGCGAAGACTCGGTGCAGAATCGAGCTCGGAGTCAACGGCGACGTTGAAGCGACACGAGAGAATTCAAATCCTAAAGTTCAAAGCCGTCATCGCCGCGCTTCCAAGCGGACAGCGAACGCTCCGTCGAAATCGAATCGGACGGAACGACGCGTTCGCCGTCGCGCGATGTTGCGCGATCCCGGATTCGACGGAGACTCCGACTGTACTCTCGATTGTGCGCGAAATCGGCAGCGAGAGAACGAAGAGAGGATTCTCGAGTGTCGGAGAGACTGTTCGTTTATCCCTCGGCCTCTTCATTCTCGCTTCTCCGCGGAGCAGAAGCGTTCGCGAGTGTCCGAGCAATCTCGCGGGAGGATTAACACGTTGAACGCCACGTAAACGCCACGTAAACTGTTTTCATTAACCAAATCGAGATTCTTGACACATCGCGTACCGGAATTTTCAGAAAACTGAATTGTGATGGCAATTTTCACCGAGGTCAACTTGTATCACTATACATAGAGAAACTCAGATATATTGTTGTGTAATATATTTCAAATAGATAATTCGAATCAGATTTTATATTTTCTTCAATGCTGTGGTAATTAGCGAAGTTGCATAGCTAAGTGTCTTTACATAAAAACGAGACTTCTCGTTACCTGTACGCAATGTGTTAATTGCTCCACTGTTTCTTATATCTCGTATACAACAAAATTCAGTTCGATGCGTCAAGAAAACGAATATCCAAGTTTCTATAAAAACAATGTTACTCGAGTCCAGGTGACGTGGCAGTCAAAGTGTTAACGCGTTGACTGCCACGAGAACCTTCGGAGCTTTGTCTCGCTTATTCTTTCGTAGCAAAGATGGGGAACAGATATTTATTATTTAGTATCGGAATGCTTACATTACACTGTTACCTAGTAATACGAAATATTCCCATTCGACATTAGTTATCCGACAAATTGTAATTATCAAGTAATTTGGGAGCGACGTGGCAGTCGACGTGTTAACCGTTTGGATGCTAAACTTTTGTGGATATTTACCAAAAATGCGGAAGTGATTGGGTGCGTATGCAAAAGAATTAATAAGAGTACTTACCTAATGAGATCACGAATATGTCATTACAAAGAAATATCAAAAAAGAACATTCATTCAAATAAATTTACTTTATTTCTCGAAGAATCTAGCAAGAAAATTCTAATTGATACCGACGAACAGAAGCGCCTCCGCAATTTTGCGTTCAGCACTCAAACGGCGAAAGACCGAAGGATCCAGCCCGCGAAGGGATCGCGCGGCGCGGAGCGTTTAGAAAGTATTTTCGAAGGCGTCGATCTCACGAGGAAACACCGATTGTACATATTGTAAATAGCCGTGTTAACCGTAAGTGTACGTATGTATATACACGTAATATACACATACATAAACATATACATATACATATACATATACATATACATATACATATATATATATATATACACGACACACGTGTACAGGAGAGGCTTCTCGCGGTTTCCGCGCGAGTGAGGAACGTTAGACCGAGACGCGGGAAGAGACGGAGGATCGGCGGAACCGCGGACGGGAAAAAGATCGACGATATTCGATCCACCTTAGGCTTAGGCCGCGGACTCGGCATTTCAATTGACCCGCTCCGTTCGGCTCGTTTATCCGCGGGGAAATTTATGGGTGAGATAATTGACTGACTCGAAAGAAATATCCGCTGTATAACCGATGACTTCTCGGGAACCGC